CTAACCTCTTCCTTTTCCAAGTACATATGCCTGTTCAAAAACAGTTGGCATTTGGTTATAACTTGATTTTGTAAGAAGAATCAGTGGATTCAGTGAAAAGAAAAAACTCCATATAGTTGGCCTCAACTATCAAATATCATAAATGTATCCGCATGAGTATAGATATGTATCTCTGGTATCTAAAGAAAGCAACAGCTCCTAAAGACCACAAAGCAACAGATAAGGTTAGCTTTCTTGGATTTCTACAAGGACTGGGGGAGAGATGAAAAGAAATAGCAGTATGGGAGTAAAAGGAAGCATAGGCTAAAAGTATGTAAAAAGGAAAGTCAATCTGTGTGATGCAGTATTTATGACTATTTTCAGTTTGATCAGTATATATATAGAAATAGAAAGGACTTATACAACCAAAATAGAGCTATAGCAGTGAGGGATCAGGAACCCCATTATGTTTTCTTATAAACTTAATCGGAGGAATAAGCACCGATTATATTTCTACACATTGGGTTAAATGGTTATTTTAGTGGAATGTTAGAATTTTAGTAGAATGTTAGAATTAAATAAGAATAAAAATATGCGTCCAAAATTCTCAATTCTCCCTTTCTCATGCCAAGGTTGCAATTTAGCATCTTGAACCTGTAGGGACAACACAAAGTGGCGCCTGCTTAATCAGGAACGAGACCCAAAAGTAGTAAAAGTGAAACAACAGAGGCTAAGATCGTTACCTCAAATCTTGAGGCCGCAACAATGGGACATTCAGACAATTAGACTTATCATCTGCATGATCAACGGATCTAAGGGGAGAAGTCAGCATCAAACCATGATTTGCTCTTGAAGCACGTTTCCAGTGAAGCCTCTGGAAAAATGAAGTTTTGATTATTGATCAATCACTCCGCCAAAATCACAACCACGGCATCGACATGGTGATATTGATGAATGTGATGCGCTACAGACTTCACTTTACAGGAGAATAAATCTTACCATCAAATTAGCCAAAGCTATTCCGATAATATCTCGGTTTGTTGCTAACTCAAGCCCCGGCAACGAATTACTATTGATGTCAGAAGCCCTTGATCTAGGGTCGTCGACACACTTGCCATTAACAATACCAAACAAGCTGTGACCAGAAATAACCTTGAATAGCTCCTATAAGGGTAGCAAAACATTTCAAACCCAATGAGATTATTGGACACTAATACCATGCTTTACAAACTACAGGATGGATGAACTAAGACAAATGTTGACATCATCTATGAATTCAGAATAACAAACCTCAGGGTTTCCAGTTTGGGGCCATATTAAAAAATCTTCCCCAACTCGGGATCCCACAATGGTCAGATTAAGTCTTCGACAGACTTCAATATAAATGACGCTAAGCAAAATTGCTGTACAAAAGGTAAGCACTATGTCAGATAGCATTATCGGTGCTCAACAAGTATTTTGAGGTTGCAGGATTTCGGAAAGGAAGAAATACCACTACAATATCCAGAGCTTAACACTGAATGCAGGTATGCACACTTTGAATCCACAAGTACAAATGACCTTTTGAATCCCCTTGACTTAAAAAGAACCATGTTCACTGCATCCAAAACTTCAGCCAAATCGCATCCTATTTCTCTCGAAACTAGCTCTGCCACCACTTCTCTAGCAATGACATCCAACTCAACCATCCACTCATTCATATTCTTTCCAGCAAGAGGCATGGCCTCCACGCATGTCCATTCCGTGGCATCAGAAGGCAATGAAGCAGATCTCCTCTCACTTTGGAGAGAATACGCATCCATCTCCCCGTTGAAAGCCATAAATGCCTCGTCTTCAGAGGCCACATAAAGTAAAGCCTACTCGGACATTAGAAAACAACCAACACACATGAGACGCGATCAATACAGATAAAAGTGAAGGAGAAGGCCAATTTACAAAGGCAAAAAGCTGATTTTAATTTAATGACAATTGTCGATATGTTGGATTTTGCATCTTTTAGTGCTACTGTTTTCTAGAATAATTAGTTGTTTAGTTTTAGGAGGAGTCTACTAGAAGATTCAGAATTTTAATTATAATAAGAGTTTAGTAATTTAGTTGTAGGAGGAGTCTACTACTTTATTTATTTGACTATTTAAAGCCCTATGATTAATAAAATTTTAGAGACAGTTTTTCAATCCTATTTTCAACCTATTTTCAATCCTGCTTGCATATTTTTCTAAAATCCATAACAGTGGTATCAGAGCCTCCATTGATCTTGACCGATCTCTGAATTCGCTGAAAAACAACCAATTTCAACCACGCATTTTTACCCATACTGATTTTTAACCAAATTTTTAACAATGGCAAGCAACGGTCTCTCTTTGAATACCCCACAAACTTTCACTGATGAAAACTATCAGATTTGGTCAGTGAAGATGAAATGGAAACACCAAAAAGAAAAAGTCGATTATCCTTATTGCAAATATTGCAAAAAGAAAACATACTTAGAAAAATTTTGTTGGTGAAGACCTGATGCATTATGCGGAAATTGCAAACAAAAAGGTCATGTTACAAAAGTGTGCAAGTTCAAAGATGCTCATGCACAAGCACTAATAGCAGAAGAAGGAATTGAGGATGACCTTCTTTAGACTGCAGCAACAGAAGCAAGTAGGAGTGTTGGATTTTGCATCTGTTACTGCTACTGTTTTCTAGAATAATTAATTGTTTAGTTTTAGAAGTAATCTGCTAGAAGATTCAAAATTTTAATTATAGTAAGAGTTTAGTAATTTAATTGTAAGAAGAGTCTACTACTTTATTTATTTAGCTATTTAAAGCCCTATGATTAATAAAATTTTAGAGACAGTTTTTCAATCATATTTTCAACCATCTTGCTTCTTGCATATTTTTCTAAAATCCATAACACAGATATTCATAAACAGACTTACCATTCCTCAATGCCAGCAACTATTTATGAACAGATAGCTGTTTACAAAGTGAACTTAGCTTTGGTTTTTGTTGCTTGAAATTGAGACTGTTCACTATTCAATTCAATAGATCAACTGCTTTGACCAAAAAGAGATGACCAACACTCATAAATATTTACCTTTGCCAGAGAAATATCTCTGTCCTTGGATTGGAAAGAAATCTCCTGGGTAAATTTTTCCCTGGCATTGTTAAGAACCTGCCAAATTGCGAAATCCACAATCAATGCGCCAATTTCTACCACTATATTTAAAAATATCTTGAGTGGAACGAACTGATTAAAGGCAGAAATTGAATTCACAATACCAAATCACACCACTTTAACAACATGAATAAATATGGGATATCACAAGAAATAATAGCCCCAACCTCCTGATAAAATTTGGCTCTAGAAGTACATCGGGTTTCAGCTAGAGCAGAGGAAGCCATAGGAGAAATGTTGAACCTCCTCTTCATTGGTGCCTTTGTAGTTGCAGCAGCCAATTTGTTCCACTTTCCTATTTCATTCCCAATCCAACATCTAACACCACCATCAAAACCACACCTGATGATCGTAAAGAATAAAGGCTCTGGGAATTTCCTAGTAAATACTACTAGCACACAAATGCTTTTTTACCAACAAACAACTAATAGTAATGAAAATTCAACAAAACCCAATTCAATTCTTGAACAGAAAAGGACAAAACTTTACCTGCTGTAAATATCCAAAGAAGCCATAGCTGCTGAAGATGCTTTCACAGCACCACCGTCTAACCCTGGCAATGATGCACACAGCATTTCTCTAGGATTTATAGAGTCCAAAAAGGTCTTTTATAAGAGACAAAAAAAGGCTGATGACACACAATCAAGAAAACTAAGAAACAAACAAATAAAAGAAAACAAAACAAAACAGTTGAAGAGGGAGTGGTGATCAAATTTGAGTCTTCTACTTCAAGAATAAGAATAAGAAAAAGAAGAAGACTTGAGAATTAAATCATCAGCATAACAAGGTTTACTGGAGGAGGAATTATTTAAGGCCATTTTAGGTACTGCAATTGAGCTCCCAAAAGACAAAAACAAGGCAGCTGAATGGAAGTAACTGAAATTAATACTTAAACAAGTATGGAAGCTGACACTGCTACTAGTATTCCAAGAATTCCCAAGATCCATGTTATTATTTGATGTACCCAATTTCAGCATCAGCTCATAAAATCAACCCACCTCTTTTGTTTTATATACTCCTATTAATTGTGTTATAAATTATAATAACCCCCTTCTTCTTTCTTACAAACAAAAAAGTACGAAAAGAGTATGACAAGAAACTATTGCTATATTATTATGGTCTGTGTGTAATAATGGAAGACCTCATCTTCTTGGTGTTGCTTTATATTGCTGATGATGATCATCTTATTGTACTGTACGAAGCCAATAAGTACGAAGTGGGGTCCATCAATTTATTTTGTGGCCTATTAAAAAATTTAGTTTTATGTCAATATTCTTTTTTTAAAAAATTATTTTGTGCGAGATCTAGAAATAAAACACAATTTTTTTAATAGAATCCTCTGTTTCAATTCAAATTATAAAGCATTATATTAAACTATTTCCTCTACAAAATAGGGCCAGCCAATCTCATTAATTACTTACTCATGCTCTTAAAAAAAAAAAAAAATTGGTTTTGTGATTTTCTACTAGGTGTCCAATACTTGTATTAGGCTCCAAATTAATTTGAACTGGCGTCATATAAGACTCATTAAAGAAAAAAGCGTTTCCTAACACTATCTTTTTCATTCTCACGGCTCGATCACAAGATCTCTAATTAAGGATGAAAGCATTCTATCTATTCCACGCTAACTCTTGGTAGCACTTGCGTCTAATATGATTGCCACGGAAATTAGAAAAGAAAAATGGATAGATAAAAGCAAGTTCAGAATTGGTTAAGAGAATTGCATTAACAACCGGGCGGGGGGAATCTAAAACAAAAGAAATTGATAGTGCATCCCAAAATTAAGGTGTGTTGATAAATTTGGATATAATGTATCCGACAATGTTGATAAATTTTCATAAAAAAGAAGACACGTAGTAGGTTCTTTTATTAGTAAACAAAATATCATTATAACACAATTACATAAATAGGATATTTTTATAGGGTATTATTTTTTGCATAATTCGAAAATTTTAAAGGGATTAACTAAAATTTACTCATGTATTAAATTTCCTCTTAATAATACGCAACCAAATCATGGTTTAAAAGTTTTGGGTGCAGAAAATTTTCATGTGCAATGATTATGTGCCCGTAAGATACATCTTGTAAGGTAATAGTGATTAGGGTATTAAGGGACAAAAAAAACGTATTTGTTGTTCACATACTTTCATTCTCAAAAATCTATATACATCTACACATACTCTCTCCGATCCACTTTAATTAATTTGGTCCATAATATTTGATTTTATCAGATATCAAGAAGGAACTAACTTAATTTTTTTAAACTTGTTCTTGGAGTAAAGATCTTAGAAGTATTTGTTGTATGTTCAATGAACAAATTAAGCCCCTGTCCACTTTAATTGATTTTTTGGTTTTTTAATTTCACACATATTAAAAAATTTACCTTTTAACATTAATTAACAATAAAATTGACTACATTAATCTTAATTTGTTCGTTGAAAATATAACAAATACTCATAGGCTCTTTACTCCAATGATAATTTAAAAAAAAAATTAATTCATTCTTAATAACTGGAAAAAATTAAATATTATGAACACTAAAAAAATCAAAAAATTAATTAAAGTGTATCGAAAGAGATATATTGCTAGCATTCGCACCTAATTATTAGTAGTGTGGCCAAGGACAAAAGATAAGGTTATCAATGTTCACATAAAAAGGGCAGGTAAAGTCTTACCCATAACAAAGGCAATAGCAATTCCACCGAGAAATGAAGAGGAGAAAAGGCTATTTCATTCGTGAGTTTAAAGTTCTACGTATTATCGATGTTAAACATATATGCATAATTAGGTTACATTTCTATTATATTATCAAATAATTTATTTTATTTTTAAGATTATAAATTTTATAATTTAAGAAAATATACCTATAAATATTCTTTGAATAATCTAATCCTTATTTGATTTCAATTTATTATTACTTTTATTTCAATTTAGATGATATAGTTTGACTTGACACCAAGTTTAAGCATAAAATTTTTTTTTGAAATATAAGGTCCTAAAAGTTTAAGGGGCAAAAATTTTATGGGGTCATGACATTAGTGTGGCTATAAAAACTTCTCATTAAAAATAAATTTTATCTCTTAAGCATTAAACATCACAAATTTCAAAAATTCATGCAGATACAAACTACTTCATAAATATTAAAACAGGGAAATAGTGCATAAATATGTTTACACTAACTTAAAATAAAACTCATATTCATTTTCTTTCTTCCCGAAGCTCATATGAGGATATCCTCATAAGTCGTAATCAAACATGTAGCAGGATAATCCATGATTGAATCGATTTTGTCGAGGCATTGCATTATGGGCAACACCCCCACTCCCCTGCCCCACCTCTTACCCAAAAGCCAAGACAATATTCAATTAGTTTCTTTATTAAACCCATAATATGCAGCATGTCAAAATCTCTATTCTTAGCCGTTAAAATAGATAAATCGCCGGGTACTATCACTTTTTAACCCGCATAAAAAAAATATTTATATCGGGTAATCAAAAACAAATATACTAAATCATGGGCGGACCTCTAACATATGGTCGATAAGTGATTGCCTTATTGGGCGACCCATGGCTTTATAAAGACGCAACATGTGATATCTATGAATTAAACATACATTATAAGTTTGAATTATTTTCGACTTAAATTTGAGTACATGACTAGATCCTAGATAGTTTGCGAGATTTTAAACTTATACGCCAATCGGAGTCGGGCCAGAAGTCCGTAGAAGAATTTCTCGTTCGAGTTCATTAGAGATTAATAGGCCTCAGACGTATCAAAAAAGTTAATTTCATTATTTACACTTTGCACCCTCTCTAGAGTTTTTGCGTTCAAGTTATAGCATGATCTTGACGAGTTGGGTTCTAATTCCTACGACACGTACATGATCCAAAATCATTTTGATGTTCAAATTATGAGTTTGGAAACAAACCTTACTGCTATTCGTTTTTGAAAGTTGTATACGGTCGAAATAGATTTCAACTTTGGCATGTCCGATCGAGTTCGAAGGGTGATGTATCGAAGTAAGATCTCGAAGGGGGGACGAACTAACCTCGAACCCGGGGAGGTCGGTCCGTGTCGAGATCGATATCATAATCAAACTCGAATAAGAATCGAACCATGATGCAGGGTAGACCTATCGTGCTGATAATCCAGAGACCAACCAACATTAACCTGGAATCAATTCGAGGGCTCGAACCAGGATCGGGCTCGAAACCAAGATCACAAGTTCGAGCCGAAATCAAGCTCAAACCAAAATCGAGGATTCTAAGCAAGATCAAGCTCGCAGACAAAAGCCGTTGCAATCCCACTAGAGAGAATCTTGGCAGAAATTATGAAAAAGCTGACTTATCATGGGTCTCCCACTGAATGTTTATTTTATTATGCTTGGAGCCGAATCCATCCACTGTAAAAGGGTTTGGTTATCATTTTTGTAGGACAAGTTTTCTGAGACTTACATTGTAATAAAAGTACTATATTCTTCTACAGTAAAGAATAGCTCTTTCAATTTCTTAGATTAATTCTATTTGTCGAATCCTAAGGTTCATTGTTCTTGATAACCTTATCTAGATTGCATTCTCTCCAATCTACATTTACATTTTTATTTATCCTTGCATTTTGTATCAAGTTACGCCACATATCCTCGGAACTGCGTATAAATTTAACTTTATCCATTTTTCGGGTAAACAGTTTGGCGCCCACCGTGGGGCCGAGGATAACAGTGGCCATTTGATACAAATCTGAAAAAAAACACGCCATTGTGCTTTGCACCTATTTCCGAAAACATCTTGAATTTCGGGTCAACTACGAATAACCACCGATCGAATGGCTTCACCGATCGATTACGAAGTCGGCCTTCAAGATGAAACTAACAACTTGGTACCCGAGGCTCGAATCGAAGTACCCGAAATTCGAGCCGAAATACCATTGGATGTCAATTCACAAATATCTTTGGAGGCGAACAAGCGTTCTGAACCGGAAAGAAGCATTCAGGGCGGTACTCAATCCGTAGCCCGAGACACCAAAAACCCAGGGGAAATCAGGGCCAGCTTACGTATGATCTTCGAGATGCTGCAAGCCCAACAAGTAGCGATAGCTTAGCTACAGAGCCAAACTCGCGCACAAAGCAGGCCGGTTTCCAATCCACTTCGAGAAGTCACCCCTAGAACAGAGCCTGCCAGAGTGAAATCTAACGAGCAAGAATCAGAGACTACTCCTAGAATTACTAAATTGCTCGAAGAACTCACAAAACGAGTCGAAGCCAACGACAAGAGGGTGGAAA